AGACATTTACAGAAGGATGTACCTTGGTGTATGCTTTTTGCTGATGATGTCCTTCTTGTAGATAAGACTAGAGAAAAAACTTGAAAAAAACTTGAATTTTGGAGGTCTACATTGAAGTATAAAGGCCTTCATTTGAGTGGAAATAAAACTGAATACATAGAATGTAATTTTAGTAGTAGTAGCTCTAGTGACAGAGTTGTAACCATGGATGATCAAATTATTAAAAGATGCAAACGCTTAGAATTCAAGTTGGTTGGTTGAAGTGGAGGAATGCTTCGGATTTATTGTGTGATAGAAAAATATCGCATAGACTGAAAAGAAAATTTTATAAGATGGTAGTGAGACCTACAAAGCTCTATGACACAGAATGTTGGCCTTTAAAAGAGAAGCATAAAACTAAGTGTTACTAAGATGAGAATGCTTAGGTGGACGAGTGGCTTTACACTTAAAGACGATGTGAAATGACTATATCAGAGATAAGATTGGTGTGCTCCAATGGCGGAAAAAAAAATTAGAAAGATGCGTCTTAGATGGTTTGGTCACATTAAACAGCGACTATCTAATGATCTGGTTAGGAGAGTAGATGTTTTAGATTCAACTTAACGTTAAGAAAAACAGAGGTAGAGCTAGAAAAACTTCAACATATTGTATTAAAAAACCATCTTAATTTATTAAAATTAAATGAAAATATGACGCTCAATAGGACACAATGAAGAAAAATGAATTATGTAGTTGATCCCACTTAGTGGGATAAAAGCTTGTTGTTGTTGTTGTGGTGAGACATGTAATGCTCTATGACCCAGAATGGTGGCCTTTAAAATAGAAGCATAAAACAAAGTTAAGGGTTGCTGAGATGAGAATGCTTGGGTGGATGAGTGGCTTGAAAAGAGAACAAATGCAAAATGAATGTATCTATGATAGGGTTGGTGTAACTCCAATGGCAGACAAGATTAGAGAGAGTCATCTTAGATGGTTTGGTCACATTATACGCCGACCATCCAATGATCCGGTTAGGAGAGTAGATGTTTTAGATTTTACTTATGTTAAAAAAGGCAAAGACAAACCTAAAAAAACTTGAGCATATTGTATAAAAAGTGATCTTAATCTATTAAAATTAAATGAAAATATGACACTCAATAGAACACAATGGAAAAAAAGGAATCATACAGTCGGCTCCACTCAGTGGGAAAAATGTTTATTGTTGTTGTTGTTGTATGGGAGCACAATGTGCGATGAAGACAGTATCACAATTATTGTCGTTCAAATTTTAGTTCTTCAACATAAAGTGCAAGTAAATGTAACGAGTCCCGAAAAAGTATTTTTGGCCCAATCAAGTAGCCTTTTACCCGCAAGGCCAGTTGCCATGTGGAGTAAAACCAATTCCATACCAGATACTACCACAACATATTTTTCACAGAAAAGAAATAAAAAAAATTATATTTTCTAAAAGAAACAATACCATCAATGCCTTCTTTCATTAATCTTGTTCGTCTGCAAGCTTTATAGTTTTCAATTAGTAGCTAGCTTTCCTAACCAAAGCTATACCTAAAATTGCTCCTATAAAGCCTTTTAGTGGTTTAGGGCAATTTTTTTGCTCCAACCCACGAAAAACATTATTTGATTGATGTTGACCCATTACAAAGACGATATCTCAAGCCATTTATTGATACAAATATTGCATTCCGGATTTTGAAAGCAGTAATAACGTAGTTCGGAACAAAAAGGAACAAACGACACTCATCTTTAAATGGTATTATTTAGAGGATATTTGAGGTTTCGAAAAAATTAGATTATTCTATGAGATATGCTTATATATCCTTTCAAAATATAAGCGAAGATTGTTGTTGCTACAATGACTCTCCATAACTATATTTTGCAAAAGAACAAGCCTCTTAATGGTGTGTCACTGTAAATTTGAAATCTTTTTATACCTGACAAAATAGCTAACACTGGAGCAGTGGTCAAATATTGTAACTCTTGAAAACTGTACTCACATTCTGCAATCCACTCAAATTCGATGCCTTTCCTCATCAGCTTTGACAACGATATAGATATCCATGAAAAACCTTTACGAACCTCCTGTAATATCTAGCTAAACCAAGTTGCGTACCTCTATAACTTATTTAGAGTAGGTCATTTTACGATTGATTTAACCTTCTGAGGATCCACTGAGATTCCTTAGCCACTGATAATATGCTCCAAGAATACAATGCTTCGCAAAAATTCACATTTCGACAACTTTGCATATAACTGAAATTCAAGATTAATAAAGGTACTTTTCTCTTGGGATTTCCTAAGTAGATTGTAGTTGTTAATACTAAGAATTGTAATATGGTGGTGACAACAGATCCTAAGTTAAACTTTATTAGATCAACTAAAAAGGTGAAATTCAAGATTGATAAGGTACTTCTCTTCGTATTTTCATCGGTAGATTGTAGGTGTTAATACTAAAAATCGTAATGTGGTAATGACAACAGAAGCATAAGACTCATTTACCCTCTTTTGAGTGCATAAATGAATATGATTCAAATTTAGGTAATTGTTTCCACTTGTCACCCGTAAAACTCCTAATTCAAATTATATCGATACACATCTCCCTAAGTTGCATTGCCTCATGACTTATCTTTCATAGTCATTCGCACAATATGAACATTCTATGTTATCTCGACACAGCTCTTTCGAGTCCTAATGGGTCAGTCACAACGAATACAACGAATTTTAACAAGTTATATGACCAGTACAACATGTAAATTAAATCTAAAGATATACTCATCACATGAAAATAAAGATCAATTCAAAGCATTCAAAACCCTATAAATCTAATCTATCTTTTACAAGAGAAAAGTATAAGAAATCTACTCATTACACATGATAAAGACCAAAAAAACTTCATTCAATCCAATCAAATTAACCAAATATGTGTTTACAACAATGATCAAATAAGAATACAAAAGATACTCAGTTTTTCCCCTCTGAAAAGAGAAGTAAATTCTACCAGACAATGTTTTCCACAGTTCTACACAATATGCCCCTAAGTTGCATTGTCTCATGACTCATCTTTCATAGTCATTCGCACAATATGAATATTCTATGTTATCTCGACACCGCTCTTTTGAGTCCTAATGAGTCACAACGAATTTTAACAAGTTATATGACCAGTACAACATGTAAATTAAATCTAAAGATATACTCATCACATGAAAATAAAGATCAATTCAAAGCATTCAAAACCCTATAAATCTAATCTATCTTTTACAAGAGAAAAGTATAAGAAATCTACTCATTACACATGATAAAGACCAAAAAAAACTTCATTCAATCCAATCAAATTAACTAAATATGTGTTTACAACAATAATCAAATAAGAATACAAAAGATAGTCAGTTTTTCCTCTCTGAAAAGTGAAGTAAATTCTACCAGACGATGTTTTCCACAGTGCTACACAATATGTTGTCGTAAATTCCTTACAGATTGTCTCAAATTCCCCTCTCAAATCTCTCTAGGACAAGAGTTTCTACTCCTACCTACTGTCTTTGGAGAATTTTAGGACTTGGAACTTCTTCCCTACTCCTAAGATTGTCAAAACTCCCCGTCTGAACTGTCAGCACCAATAAAATAACTCCAAGAGTCGTGCAAAAAGTAACTGTCTGAACTACAACACCTAGGCACCCAGTATGCGGCATCGGGCTCTCTGTTTACTCGAAAAGCTTGGGCATCTAGGAGCCCAAGACCTGGCGCCAAGATGTTCAACTATAACATCTTGGCGCCCAAAAGTGGGCGCCTAGGCGCCAGACCACAATCAGCACATTTGCTCCATTTGGTTCCATTTTGCTCTGATTCAGTCCAAATTCGTTCCAATGCTCCTACCTGTTATACCCAAAGCATAAACATAAAAATATCTTTCATTAAAATGCAGATTCATTCAAAAACATGTGTAAAATAAAGAAAAAATTAAGTATATCCAAAGACATATCATGACCAAACAATCTAAGAAGACTTTCTCTAATTTTGTCTAACACAGGAGCTACACCAACCCTATCATGAATATAATCATTTCACATTTTGTCTCTAAGTGTAAAGCCACTCATCCATTTAAGCATTATCTTCTCAACAACACTTAACTTAATTTTATGCTTCTCTTTTAAAAGCCAACATTCTGCGCCATAGAGCATTGTAGGTCTCACCACCATCTTATAAAATTTTCCTTTCAGTCTCCTCCACTTCAACCAACCAACTTAAATTCTACTAATAATATCCCTATCTATATAACCATCACTTTGAACAGTAGATCCGAGATAACTCAAGCGTTCACACCTTTTAATACTTTGATCCCCCATAATTTCATTTCTGTCACCAGAGCTACTATTAATAAAACTACATTCCATGTATTCGGTTTTAGTTCTACTCAAATGAAGGCCTTTAGACTCCAATGTAAACCTCCATGATTAAAGTTTTTCCTAAGCTCTTTATCCAGTCTTATCCACAAGAAGGATGCCATTAGTGGGATACCATTAGTGAAAAGCATACACCAGGGTACATCCTCCTGTAAATGTCCAAGAACATCCAAAACTAAAAAAAAAGATATGGGCTTAAAGTCAATCCTTGATGTAATCTAACCGAAGTAGGGGAATATTTGGTCAATTCTCCTTCTGTTCGAACACAAGTAACAGCTAAAGTATACATTATCTTTAATAACTTGAATATAAGTCTTGAATATAAGTCATGGTTATATCAAAACTTTTTTTTTTCTAGAATTCTCCAAAGTACATCTCTTGGAACCTTATTGTAAGGCTTTTTCTAAAACAATAAAAATTATATGTAGATCCTCTTTATTCTCTCTGTGCATCTCCATCAAACCTCTCAATAAATGTGTAGTTTCCATAGTAGACCTTCCTGGCAAAAATATGACATGAAGCTAATAAATGATTAAATTAGCATAGCCATCTAGGTGAATCAAGAGCGGTCAAATACGAAGTAAAAGCATTGACATACAAATTTAGTTCAAATAGTGCCTGCTTGAGAGAAATTAAGTTATCAGATGGGACAAAGTGTGTTCCAAGGCCTACGTATAGTGCATCAGCAGCAGAAGAAATTCTTGCTCCTGTCATTCCGAGGTAGTAACCTACAAAACAGATTTTCCGTCTCATGAATCTCATAAAAGTCATCAAAACATTCTCAAGGGAATAAATGATCAGATAGAAACATCAACATATCAAACATGCAAGGTGCTAATAATCATTATCATCATCATCCCAGCTAGCCCAACAATTTGGAGCAAGAAATTTCTGTTGTGAATAAACATACAGAGTGATGTTTAATAGTAAGGCTACAAGCAGATACAGGTGACCGCAAATAGTAAAAACAAATTTTCAGGAAATCCCGTAAAACCCATTCCCATCTATAGCAATCATTTTATTTGTTCTTAGCATCATTATCATCATTAGCCTTATCATGCCTTTTGGGGTTCAACCATTTTCTAAGAAGACATGCATGCATTTATTTGTTGACTATAGTTCAAGTAAACCTTCTTCACAAATTCTAGTCATATTACCTAAAATTTTCCTTTTTTTCTTTCCTATCCTTCTTCACATAACTATGTTTACCCTGTCTACTTTTCTATCTTTTGCACACAGATACCTGAATACAGAACCCCCAAGTCTATCTACTATAAATTTCTCTCTGATGAATGCCAACACACACTCTCCAATATGATAATTTGCATTCTATCCTTCATAATATTATTATATATTCACATTATCATTTCTGACAAACTTAACATGGTTAATTAGTTAGTGTAGAAAATAAGAGAATGCAGATGTTTGCTCTCATTATCTTAAATTAAGAAGGTATTTATGCTAGAGTTGACTATCGACTCTAGAATGAGTATTAATTACAGTTAAGAAAATATGATCTAATACTCCATGAATCCTTGTGCTTCGTACTTCCATATATGCCAGCTCGCCATCCTATTTAGGTTTTAAATCTGCTTTATGCGTACTTCCATATATGCCAGCTCGCCATCCTATTTAAGTTTTAAATCTGCTTTATGTAATCACACTTAATTTCTATTACATATGTATATCATTATCATTATCATTATCGTTATCGTAATCATTATGATTATGATTATGATTATGATAATGATTATGATTATGATTATGATAATGCTTATTATTATGATATGATTATTATGATTATTATTATGATATGATGATTATGATAATGATTATTATTATGACATGATTATTATGATGATGATGATGATGATGATGATGATGATGATGATGATGATTATGATTATGATTATTATGATTATTATTATGATTATGATTATTATGATTATTATGATTATGATTATGATCATGATTATTATTATGATTATGATTATGATCATGATTATGATCATGATCATGATTATGATCATGATGATGATTATTATTATGATGATGATGTATATATATATATATATATATATACATATATACATATATTATTTCACATTATCATTTCTGACAAACTTAACATGGTTACTTAGAATATAGGTATTCTCACCGGTAAATTAATGGAATTAGTTGATATTATGGTTTATAAGAAGATAAATATCTTATGTATTCAAGAAACTAAGTGGGTTGGACAAAAAACAAAGAAGATTGATAGCTTGGATTTTATACTTTGATATTTAGGTAAGAGTCGTACAAGAAATGGTGTAGGTTTAATTTCTAAAAGGACCTGAAAGAAATAATACAGATGCCGCCTCTTGAAGAAAGAATTTTTATTGGATGATATTTAAATGGACATGTTGGTAGCGTGGTAAAATATTTTAGAAATATTCATGGCGGCTATGGTTTTGGAGTGATTAATGAAGAAGGTAGAACCATATTAGATTTTGACTTGACGTATGATATTGTTATTATTAATACTTTATTTAAGAAAAGAAATGAGCATATTATTACTAATAAAAATGAATCTAATAAAGCACAAATTGATTACTTTCTTATGAGAAGAAGAGATCGTCGAGAATACAAAGATTGTAAGGTCATTACAAGCGAAAATTTAAGTACTCATCATCGATTATTAATTTTGGATTTTAAGATGAAGAATTGTAAGATAAAGAATACTAGGAAATCATTGTCATAGAATTAGAATGGGACACATAAAGACGGAAAAAAAAATTATGTTTATGAGTTAAATCAAGATTTCAAGATTTGGGACATTCATGAAAAGGCAAATTCTATGTGGGTTAAATTAAAAAATACTATTAAAGAAGCGACAAAAGATTTACTAGAAAAATCAAAAGGAAAAATTTTTATAAATAAAAATAGTTAGCGGTGGAATAATAATGTCCATGAAAACATAAAAAATAAGAAGTGTTATAAAAATTAGTTTAAATGTAAAAGCTTGGAAAATAGAGAAAAATATAAGGTGGCCCATAGGGAGTCTAATAGAATAATTTGTGATACTAAAAATTCTGTTTTTCATGATCTTTATAATAGATTAGATATTAAGAAGAGTGAAAAATATATGTATAAATTAGCCAAATAATAAGAAAAGAAAATAAAAGTATATTAAAGATGAAAATGAAAAAGTTTTTTCTTATAAGAAATTCAACATTGGTGGGTAAATTATTTTAATAAATTTTTCAAAGAAGTTTCTGAAAATACGATTGACTTTAGTGATCTTAATATCATTAATAATAATAATATATTTTATTTTTACCATCGTATTAATAAAAAAAAAGTTGATAAGACTTTAAAAAGAACCAAGGTTCGAAAATTAGTAGAACATGATGATGTCTCAATTGAAGTGTGGAAATATCTAAGAGATTTGAGAGTTTCTTGATCTACTAAAATTTTTAATATTATTTTAAAAACTAAAGAGATGTCTGAGGAGTGGAGGAAGAGTATTTTGGCCCCCATTTTTAAGAAAAGAGGATGCACAAGAGTGTGCAAATTATAGAGAAATTAAGTTGATGTGTCATGCCTTAAAATTATGGGAGAGGGAAATTGAACATAGGTTAAGACGTGATACAAATATTTCACATAATCAATTTGGATTTATCTCGAGAAGGTCTACTATGGAAGCTATACAATTATCAAGAAGTTTGATGAAGAAGTACAGAGAGAATAAGGAGAATCTACATATGATTTTTTTTATTTAGAAAAAGCTTACAATAAAGTTCCAAGAGAAGTTATTTGGAGAGTTGTTCATATGACTTTTATTCAAGTCATTAAAGATATTTATAATAGAGCTATTACTTCTGTTTGAACAGGAGGATTGACCAAGTATTTTCCTATTTTATTTGGATTACATTAGCGATTGGCTTTAAGCCCATATCTTTTTTGCTTTAGTTATAGATGCTCTTACTGGACATTTAAAGGAGAATGTAACTTGGAGTATGTTTGTCGCTGATGATATCCTTCTTGCTAAGGGAGTTCGGCTTTTTCATTGGGACAGTGCTCAGGTGGAAAAATTTGTGACTTCGGCTCTTTCAGAAAGCATTGAGGATTGGATGATTGAAGGCAAAGGTATTATTATTGAAGCTGATAACTCAAATGTCATCTCCTACTTCTGAAACTCTATGGATAAAAGGTTGTGGTGTTGCTCTCCTCATGACAATCCAAATATTGATCTTTTTGTTCAGGTTCAAACAGGTCAATTTTCAACACCTTCAAGAGCATTAATAGAGTTGCTCATACTTGCGCCAAGATGGCTATAGGTAGCAACTTTATTTTGACTCATATTGATGCCTTTGACCCTCTTTTTGTTTTTGTACAAGAGGAAAGGGTCCATTTTGTAAATGCCTAAGTGACACCGTTTGGCTTTGTTTGTATTTTGACTTTTATTAATGCAATATGCACTATTCAAGAATAAGAATAGAGAAAGAGTTCAAGAAAAAAAATGAATTATGGAGGTATACATTGTAGTCTAAAAGGCCTTCGTTTGAGTAGAACTAAAATTTAAAAAAAAAATGTACTTTTAGTAGTAGTAGCTCTAAATGTACTTTTAGTAGTAGTAGCTCTAGTGGCACGGTTGTAACTATAGGTGATCAAATCATTAAAAGGTGTGAACGTCTTAGATATCTCATGTCTATTGTTCAAATTGATGGTGCATAGATGCGGATGTTATTATTAAAATTCAAGTTTGTTGGTTGAAGTGGAGGAATACATCGGACCTATTGTGTGATACGAAAGTACCACTTAAACTGAAATTAATTTTTTATAATATGGCAGTAACCTGCAATTAGGGGTGTAAACAAATCGAACACAAACGAATAAAGCTCATGTTAGTGTCCAATTCATTTGAAATTTAGTGTGTATGAAATAGGCTCGTGTTCGAAATTGTTCATCAAGGTACTGTTCGTGTTCCGTTCGATTTGTTCGAAATTAATTCGAATTGTTCTAAATGTTTAAATTATTCGAATTGCTCGAAATTTTTCAAATTTATTTGTATTGTTTGAATTGTTAAATAAACAACAATTTAATAATTAATTCTTAAATTACCAAAATTAATTCTCAAATTACCAACAACATAAATAACATCCCTCTATAACAAAAAAATTATTTCTTCAACTATATTATTTCAAAGTATTAATAACAAGTTACAAATGAAATATTTAATTAAAGCTACAAGTTCCAATAAATGTGGAAGAAGTACAGCAAGCTACAAAATTGATTACCCCTGCAAGAGGAACTGTGGAAGAAGCCCAGCAAAAGGAAGTTGTACAAAGAGAATTAGGGAAAAGACATACTTGCAGTACCAATAGGCTACAAAATTTATTTAAAAAATGACTTTTGTACCCCCATGAAACTGGCAAGTTGAGCCAACAGCCAATAAGCAAGTGATCCGACAGGTATTAGCCAACAACCAACAACTAAAAGCTAATGGCTTTTGATCCATCTTATGTCACAACATACCGAAAGATGATAAAAAGGGGAAATTTTGGGTAAAAACATCTCACCGAAATTTGCTTAAAATTGTTCTGAGATGAGCGCAACATAAAATTTATGTGGCATTTACATACATACCACACAATTCTCAGGTATTTGCAAAACAAAAAACTAAACATTCATATTTAAATCCATAACACACATATCTTTAATATTTAACAGAAAATGCCACTATCACTAACCTTTTTAGAAGTGGCGAAGCATTCCATGCATATGTTCAAGACAACAAAGAGCTAGACATGTAAATACTATAAAAGAGCTAGATATCAACCTCTCTTCTCTAAATGCCTTCTCCCCTCTAGAACTATGTGATGCCATAAATCTCAAACC